TGAAATGTCCTGAAAAGAATCAATACACTGATAAAAAAGCTCAGAGTTTAAAGGTAGTGATGAAATTGCATGCACTCAGGAGAGGATATAATAAATATTGATCCATGGAAATGGTGGGAGTGTTGCCAATTACCACTAAAAATTTGGCACCTGTTAAAACTGAATGACCAATCTTTCTTAGGTTCTCCTGTGGCTCCATTGCCACAGCCACAATTTCTAATGTATTTTTCCTCACAACATTCTGCTGAGGTACAGTAATGCTGTTTTCCCCACTTTACAGACGAAATGCACCACAAAGAGACTGAGTGATTTGCCCAAGGCTGACCAGAAAGTATGTGGCAGAGTCAGGAGTCTATCACTCATTAATGCTGTCTGTTCCTTAACTCTCAGCTAGTACAGTTCTCTTCTATAGCAGCAATGAACTGTGTGGAGGTACCTCAATAACAAGCCACAGTCCCCCAAGAGTCCACCCCTCCTTTCCTTCAACCAACTACATTGAGTTAAAAAGCTGATTTAGGTCACTAACATCAACCCATTTTCCTACTCTGGGCAAATGGGGGTTGGGAAGAGGAATGATTATGCTCAAACCTACACAGTAAAGCTGTTGTACTCCATGGAGGTGCAAGGTAATGTTTAAGCAAGGGTTACCTTACACTCACAAAAAGTGAACTGTTGAAAAACAGAGTTTATTTAATAGAGAAAACTCAAGTTCTAAGACTAGGCTGAAAGGAGATTTCAGTAGCACCTTAATTTTCTTATGCATTTGTCATCTGTGGACAGGAATAACTAAAAATGACAATAGATCTTATATGGAATTGTGAGGTGTGTAAGCTCTGAAAGAAAAGCCTCTCTACAGAAATGATTGCTTGGGGGAAATGGGGAAGCAATCAGGGCGCTGGATACCTCAGTCCTTTCACCTGAGGGGATCAGCTGAGAGCTGAAACCCTTCATAGCAGGAAAAAGGGAACTGAACCTCCCTGGGAAGGGACAGATATCACAGCCCAGAGACAGACACCCGTGTCCCTTTTGAGGGGCTGGGAGGGGGAATATGATCAAGAGACAGATACAACAGATCCACCCACCAGTTGAAAGTGAAATAAATCAGAAACCCAGACTCCTTCATATTCACCAGTCCTGAAGGATCATTAAATATTGAATTTGGGGCTGGTGGTAAACCTCTATATTTACTGAACGAATAAGTAATTTTCAAATTTAAAAGTATTTTCTTTATCTTAATGGATTTCATTTGCAAACTGCATTGCAGGAGATGTGTTCTGCATCTTGTTTCCTTACTATAAATTATATTTTTTCATTGGTTATGGAAATCCAAGGTGAGAATGTGCAGAATTTTATTTTTGAAGATCTAGGCAGAAGATGGCGGATGTGTTTCTCATACATGGGTGGAGAACCCTACTACAAAATGGCTGCTATTATTCCGAGCCAAGTTCCTAGTGTCTCTGTTTCTAGTTAAATGTTCTGTGTCAGGCGATTTTGGTGATATTTGGTGCATCTTGCTCACGTTGGCTGTCTTACCCTTTCCCCATCCTCAAGTCTAAACCATTCAGGGTAAAGGTGCAGTCATTTGGGGCCAAGATCTGTGGTTTTCCCCACCCCCATCAGGATCACTATCTTAGAATTGCTCGACCTTCTTTTGTTCTCACCCCTACCACTTAAATACCAAGGCCCTGTTGACTCATCCTGCAGCCCTTACTCATCTGTGTGCTCTGATTTCAGTCAGTGGAAAAATTCCCGTCAGTAGGGGCTATAGGATCAGATTCTGCATTTTCTAGGCTAGAAAAGGACTTGTGCTCTCTTCTTCATTCCCCGTCCCGCCCCCCGACTTATGCTTTTGCTCATAGCTTCCTTTTTCTAAAGAAAGCCCCATCCCAGCAAAATAGCCTATTTTTCTATGTGTGCACAGCACTGCACAAGCATTAGTAATTAACAGCCCACAAATTAAGTCACCCCTGTAGAGGAAGGAAAATAGCTTAACTTACCTGCTGTTGTAGGTCCACCAGCGGCCTGGAGCTTTTGCAGGGCCGTGTCTTATTCCAGTGACACAAAGAGTCAGAACAGGAGTCCATGAGTGACTGAGAGAAGCTTGTGAGTTGAGTCACAAGACGCACTGCACAGCACCACAGCCTCGCACACTGGCCCCAAGATCTCCCTCTGTCTCTGTAATGTAAGTCTGCACCTTCCTCTGCCAGCGCCTTACCAAGGCCTCTTCTCCCTTCCCCCTCTCCACAGCCCAGTTCAGCTTCACTCACTGTGCCACTGAGCCAACCACTGCACTGTGTGGTGTCCCTCAGGCCCAGCCTTTCTAAAACAGCAAACGATTTCCCCTTCCTGACTGAGAGGAAGCCAGGACACCCTGCATCTTTCTCTGTGAACTGCCACTGAATTAATCTGTATTTTTTCACTCGTTTCTGGGGCAAGTGTGTGTGTGTTTTTAATTGTAAAACTAAGTCCTGGTCTCATGCAAAAGTTAGGTTGACATGGCTATGTCAGTCATAGTGTGAAAAAATCCCTGACAGTGGTAGCTATGCCAACCTAAAAGTGTAGACTCACATCACACAGTTATGATGAGGAAAGAATGCTGCTGTCACTGTGGCTGACTATCATGCTGACTATCATGCAGGGAGGTGGTTTTCCTTCACCAAAGAAAAAAACACCTTTTGTTGGTGTCAGATGCATCTACACTCTGGGGCTAAACCGGCATCGCTTTGATGCCAATGCTATGTTGATACAGCATAGACATTGTCTCCTCTTTGTTACCTTTCATTGCCTCTCGGGGGCGGGGAGAGTTCTGTCACCAATCCATAAGAAGTCAGGCATTTCATGTGTGTACCTGATACCAGTAGGCGAGGTCACAGCATGAAAGCTGCTAGGGAACTTACGGACCATTGCCTTATGTAGTGCTCTCACTCAGCATTAGCTCTGGTGTCTGTTCCGTGAAATGTAATTCAAACAATGTTTTTGGAGCATTTCATGCCAGCTAGTGCACTAGAGGGTCTTGCACTTTTTGCTTGTAAACGCCAAGCTCATTGCATGCACCTGGGTCTCCTACCATCCCTATGCCCCTGTCACAAGCTCCCTCCCAACCTCCTTTTTGTCAGAGACTCTCTGCAAGATCCCTCCATTCCTTTACTTTTTCCCTCGCCCCAGTCAGTGATTCTGTGTAATCCCCTTTCCACATCCCCCCATTCCAGAGTATTTCATTATTCTCCCACAGCAAAGTCAGTGCACACCCATTCCACTTTCCTCTATTTCCTTATATCATCATCCCTCAGTCTCTCTGCCTGTCGGGCTTATGTGACTCTTTCCTCCAACTAGAGCTCCCCATTCTCACACGCATGTGAGGGGCTATATAGGTCCCAGATTGCACACACACTTGTCATTTAAATCCCCCCCATCATTTTTCCTCCTGTCTGAGAGTTAATCCATTCATAATCTCACACTGTGAGAATAGGTGGAGATGAGCAGGACTGTTAGGGTGTGTCTAGACTACATGGCTCCGTCCACAGAGCCATGTAAAGTAGTTTACCTAACATAGACAATGAAGCCGGGATTTAAATAATCCCTGCTTCATTAGAATAAAAATATTTGCCGCGCTGTGCCGACAATCAGCTGATCCGGCACAGCGCGGCAGTCTAGACATGGATCGGTTGACAAGGGACGCCTTTGTCGATCACTCCGTTATGCCTCGTGAAACAATAGGATTCTGGCACTCATTTCTAGCACATTCCCTGACATTTTGGAGTTGATCAGATGTGATATTAAAAAGTTACCATGTTACAGAAAGAAAAACACTATTGAGTGTAAGGTCTTTGCAAGTTCAGCCTGCTATAGATTACATTCGGTTTCCAAGTACACTGCAAATCAGCACCATTAGGCAGCTTAGCTTCTCTTACAAAATTATAAGACATATCATTAATGTAAGAATAATAAATATGTAGGGCTGGAAGGAACATTAAGATACCATTTAGTACATTCCCCAAAAATTTTTTATCTAAATATTTTAATAACCCTGGAGACTGCTCGGAAGTGTGAATTACCTTTTATGTGAGAGGTTGTGGAAAATAAAACTGGATGGACAAAGGGTAATGAGTAAATATGTCAAGATGCTGTAAGAGCCCATTTGGTTGCTAGAGAAATTTGTCAATAACAATATGTGACCAGATATCCCATACATTGAATTTCTATTTTAAAAAATGATACCTACAATTAATTTTTGGAACAAAGAAAATTTCCACAAAAGGAAGGGATAAAGAAAAGGTGGCTGGGGAGGGGGTGGGTTGAAGGAGCTTTTTCCTAATCTGTTTCCTAAATTTGAATTGTAATAATGAGACTATTAGTCCTTCACTGAAAGGCAGAAGCTGTTACAGAGGATGGGACAGAACCAAATTAGATCCTCTCACTGGATTTCCACTACTTCCATTATTTTGCCCCTTCATCAACAATTTAAGAAAATGCATAAGATGTGGAGTTATTTTATAATTGGTTTCACAACCGGATACCTTACACCTTCTTATGCCATTCCCATGAGAATTGTCAGTAGGAATTTCTAAGAGCCCCAAGACAATTCTGTAAAATCTCTAGCTCTAAAACTAGCTTCCTCTATCAAAACAGATGGAGAGCAAGAGATACAGAGAGAAAAGACTACGTGAATTAGGTGCCTAAATCTATTTAGGTACTACAGGCAGTCCCCGGGTTACTTACAAGATAGGGACTGTAGGTTTGTTCTTAAGTTGAATTTGTATGTAAGTCGGAACTGGTACATATTGTAGGGGAAACTCTAGCCAAACATTTCTCCAGACAGAGCTCAGTTTTATTCTCCCACACCTCACTTCCCTCAGTCCTTTATTCTCAAGCTGAGGTGTCTGCTGAGAAAAGCCACTCCGCGTCTCCCTGGTCTGCTGGGGGGAAGCAGCTAGTGCGGGGTTGCCTCACCCCGTTTGTAAGTAGGGATCCGATGTAAGTCGGATCCATGTAACCCGGGGACTGCCTGTATACAAAATCCCGCTATGCTCTTATCTGCAGTTTTAGGTGCCTAAATATCTTTGAAAATTTGTCTTCTACTAACTGAGGATAACTCCAGATTGATTAATATTTATATGGACAGTTGAAAGAGCAATATCAGGGCTCTTTTATCCCCCTCAGGAACACAGTCTGAGACATGTTCCTTGGGAACATACCCAAAAAATAGGGAAGATTTTCTCAGTGAAGGAGGTGCAGTAAGTGATGGGAACAGCCATGTTATCAGTTCTGTAAAATGTCACCCATCCTTTTTCATAATCCAAACAAACTCTTATCCTTATAACTGTCTCATTCTGGAATTCGGGATCTGTGGGGCCATGATGCCAATTAAGGGTCATAGGCCCTGGAGTTGTTGCTGAAGCTATAGGACACAGAATTGTGGGTGAAGCTAGGGCTGGTGTTATGCCTGACACAACAGGGGCTGGAGTGGTGGCTGGGGTCTGATAACAGGCAGAGATCAAATTCATGTTTTGAGCAGCAGTAATGGCAGGGGTCTGATAGTGAGGACCCCAATAGCTGGGATGAATTGTGTCCTGACTCATCCACACACACCAGATTCCTTCTTCAGGTGTAAGGTCAGATGGGGTCTTGTGTGTCATAGACTCTTTGGCAACCCCTATGGCCCATTCTTCTTCCCCATCGTATTCCCAATGCCACAGCCATTCCCCCTCATGCTCCTTCCCCACCTCCACCTCCCAGTAATGTCTTCCAGATGTGAAGCCCTCAGAGCCCAGAACATAACAGGAAGGATCAAATCTCTTGAAGCTGCCAGACACAGCTGAGTCTGGGTTCCATGTCACACTTCTTCCATCCACAGACACAATAAGTTCATGCTTCTCGGCTCCAGGTTCTGAACATCTTTTATGCAGAGTCATATCCACTGTGGGAGTGAGGGAAGAGAATTAGTCATTAGGGAGAAAACATTTAATCAACTGACAGTATTGACATAGTTAAAAAGAATGTAAGATGTATAGAGTGAGATCAGTAACTCAGCTAGTCTAGTATGTCACTTTCTGTCAATAGTTCTTTGTAATCTCACCTCTTCTCTAAGAGCACTGTTTGCTTTGGGGAAGGACTAAAACACTTGGATTTAGTTCACCTTAGAAGAAGGGACACCAGGCTTTATGTTCCACTCATACAACACTGAAATAATGGTGTTAGCTTTAAGTAACACAGCATGCCATGTTATCTTCTTCATTGGGATGAATTTAACTCTTCAATAAGTTGTATATTTCTAATCTGTGTGGGAAAATTCCTTCCCTAGTGTGAAATGGTTCTTAGTTCACACCAATAAGCCGTTTTATTCTAGCTATAGCATCACTGGAGCTTCTATTTTTATGTTTCTAATCTTTTTTAATTTTGGTTTGTTTTTTGGTATTTTTGTGTGTGGTTTTTTTGTTTTGTTTTTTTGTTTTGGCAAGGGCACAGTGGTTCTCAAGCTATTTATCACTTAGAGCTGCAAATGTGATACTTGGGCCACAGGCTGAGATTAACAGTGCTCCCTCCCTCCCCCCAGCCATTGCATAGACTCCTATGTCAAGTACCTGGTACTCCACCCAGAGATCTTCCCAGACATTGGAGCCAGGACGTGGCCCCACGTATACTGACCCTGCCAGGTGTCAGTGCAGTAGGGCAGTCCCAGACACAACCAGATGGGGCTGGGAGGCAGTGTAGTGTAGCCCCAACACTGCCCAGATCCCAGACCTAATGGGGTTGCCAGCAGGATGGGGCCAGATGGCAGGGCAGCCCAGCAGCCCCAGATCCTGCCACCCCAGGCTAAAACTCAGAGCAGACCTGACCCTGGATTCTACGGTGCAGGATAGCAGGGAAGTCTGGCAGCCTAACCCCAGATCCCACCTTGTGGGATGGCAGGACAGCCCAATCTCCAAAGCCTGCCTCACCCAGTGGCCTTTAGCACACAGCTGGCCCATGTAGAGCCTTAAAGCCAGGACCTTATACTAGCCTAAAGGATGCGAAGTGAACGAGCATTGTGTTTTTTCTTGGTGCTGAAGGTGCTTCTCCCAATGATGTGTTGTTGCAAGTACATCTCTTCAAACCATAAAACACTGAATGCTGCATTGGTTGACAAACAGAATGTGATTGTGTAATAATAATCTTTATTGCAATATCCCGTGGCACCATAGAGGCTAACAGATTTATCAGGGCATAAGTTGTTGTGGGTCTCTATGGTGCCACAGGACTCCTTGGGTACATCTAGACTATGTTTTTCTTTCACAAGGAAATATGCAAATTTGGTGCTATTTTGTATGTCTTCTTCCAATTGCTTTTCCAAAAGCACTTTTTTCAAAAAAGAAAGCAGTTTAGACGCGGTTCTTTTGAAAAAAAAATTCCTTTTTCAAAGGAACCCTGCACACCTCATTCTTTGAGGAAGAATGGTTCTTTCGAAAAAGGGTGTTTTTTTTTTTTAAAGAACTGTGTCTAAATTGTATTCTTTAAAAAAAAACACTTTTGAAAAAGCAATGGAAGAAGATATACAAATTTGGCATTAATTTGCATATCTCCTTTTGAAAGAAGAATGTAATCTAAATGTACCCTAATTTTTGCAGATACAGGCAAACACAACTGTTTTCTAAGGGTACATCTACACTTGCTCCCTAGTTCAAGCTAGGGATGCAAAGGTAGGTGACCAAAATTGCTAATGAAGTGGGGATTTAAATATCCCGCGCTTCATTAGCATAATCTCGCCCTCATTTTACTCTGCTCAACAGCTGAGTCGAACCAGGAAGTGCGCTCCGGGACGTGGTAGTTCAAATCAAACCTCTTGGTTCGAACTGATTTGAACTATCATGTCCTGGAGCACACTTCCTGGTTCGAATCAGCTGTTGAGCAGAGTAATGCGCAGGCGAGATTATGCTAATGAAGCATGGGATATTTAAATCCCCGCTTCATTAGCAATTTCGGAGGCCTACATTTGCAGCCCTAGCTCGAACTAGGGAGCAAGTGTAGACGTACCCTAAGACTTTACTGTAATATACATGCACAAGGTTGTTTGTCTACCTTAACTTTAACATTTCTTAACTTTTGGATGTTTAAACTTATCATTGTAATCTTTTTGTACAGAAACATATAAAGAATGAAAGGATGTCAGATTGCAGTAATCTGATGAATGAGGTTATCCTACATCTCTACACTATGGTGTTATTTCAAAATAACTCTCCTTAGGTGGAATTTATAAGCGGAGTGTCTACACTACCAAGCCTGTTATTTCAAAATAACGAGCCACTTATTTCAAAATCTGTACTCCTGCTTTTCTCAGGGAATAACACTAATTCTGAAACAGTTATTTTGAAATAGCAGTAGTGTAAATGCTCTGGTGCTGCTATTTCAAAATAACTACTCCTCAGACTAATTCGAACGCATTATTTCCCAGTGGTTCCTGGGGCTCTAAGTCAAGGTAGCGCATCCACATTAATGGAGCCTGCCTTGAACTAATTTTGAGGCTTCCCTGTAGTGGGGACATGATATTTTTATTTTATAAAATTACATTTCCTAATGTAAACATGCCCTAGCTGATTTATTCATTCACGTTGCAAAATTATAAATCCTTTGTGAACTAAATGCTTTGAGCCACCTCAGTGTACACAGCAGCCTCTCTATATATTTCCACTTCTGCTCATGTACCAATGTGATTTATAACAGAGAGCAAGCAAAATAAGAACGTTTTCTGATTACCTTTATTTGGCATCAGTAATTCCTTCCAAACTTTGAATTTTTCTGACTCATAGAAAGTAGATCCTGTGTAAGAGGGGATTGGCTTTGGATCTGGCATTGCTTTCTGCTTCTCCCTTTCCAAATCCAAACTACAGAAAAAAAAACAATTATTATTATTCAGTCTCAAATTTCAAGACACCCCCAATGAGGGAAAAAATGACAATTTAGGACTATTGCAAAAACTAATAGTGGTTTTTATTATTATCATTATCAGTAGATTTACATAAGAACATAAGAATGGCTATACTGGGTCAGACCCTTCTAACAGTGGCCAATGACAGGTATCCCAGAGGGAGTGAACAGAACCGATAATCATCACGTGATCCCTCTCCTGTCATCCATTTCCAGACAGAGGCTAGGGAGACTATTCCTACCCATTTTAAGTGCCTACAACATTTGAAGCAAGGAGAAACATGGTGAGTGGACAAGGAGGTGGTTCCACTGTGCTTATGGAATATTGGAGTAATATGCCAGGGCTCATGCTGGTTTCTGCAGGAAGCCAAAAACATCTGTGTTGCAAAATCAAAGGTTGGAAATTCAGATTTTCAGCAACTTAAAATTCAGCTAAATCTGAATGTATTGACATAAGGATGGCAAAAGGCACCTCCTTTTGCCAGCACCATCCATTTGCTGAATGTCAAATACCAGATGCAAACTGAGCTGGGACTAGAACTCTTCAAGTAAAGGTTGAAAAGGTCTCTTATAATGGAAAATGTTTTGCAATCTAAATATAGGGACTGTTTCCAATTCCCCCTGGCTATGTCTAGACAGCAGGCTTCTTTTGGAAGAAGCTTTTTCAGAAGAGATCTTCCAAAAAACTTCTTCTGAAAGAAAGCGTCCACACTGCCAAAGCGCATCAAAAAAGCGATCTGCTCTTTCGACAGATAGTGTCCATACTGAATGGACACTCTCTCACATTTAAGCTGTGCTTACCATGGATGGAGAGGCCACCGGGGCACCTGTGCTTTTTCCTCTTTCCTCTTCTTGTGAAAGAACTCCCTCTTCCCCATCCACACACGCCTTTTTCGGAAAGAGCTCTTTCAGAAAAAGGCTTCTTCCTCGTAGAAAGGTTTACCAATGTTGGAAAAACCTCTGTTCTTTCAGTTTTCTTTTGGAAGAACGCAATTGCGGTGTGGATGTAATTGAGGTTTTTTTCAGAAAAATGGCCATTTTTTAAAAAAAATAACCCTCTCTAGTGTAGATATACCCTCTATAAATCATGGTTTGGTCTCCAAGATTGTTTGCAGTACAATGAGGTGTGAGGGGGCTGAGAAACAACCACATACCTCTTCAAGGTGCTTTGAACATCCTAGAAAAAAAAAAGAGAGACTATTTAATTTATCACAAGTAAACGTTCCTCTAGATTCTAGAATAAAAGATGCATCTTATTAACACGGGCATTTACAATATAATTAGCACTTATCAATAAATGTAATTAATTTTCAGAAAGACAGATTTTTAAAAGTAGGATTCTGAGGTTCTCATGAAAAAACCTGCACATCTGGATATATAAACCTGTCATTTGTGAAGTGACACGGAAGTGGTGTGCTGGCTTTTGTTTCCTGCCTTACGTTAAGGAAAAGCAAGAGGATGAAAGAATACATAAAACTTACTCTTTGTCAGCTCAAGATTTCCCTATTCTGAGGAAGTTCCCAACTGCCCCTTTAGGACAGTTTAAAGTCACTGTACAATGTTCTTGTGGCACAAACAAATCTTGACTGGCCTTAGAATCTACCCCATGATTTTTTAATCATAATTCGGGCTGTGAATCTATGAATAGCTATTTTTAGTTAGTCCTGTCCATCCTCTGGCACTGTCTCAACATCCTGGTCCCAATCCCAGGTTTCCTGTCCCACCTCTAGCAACTGATGCTGAGGTTCTTCTCACCAGGACTGCATTGGGTCTCTGCAGGGGTTCTCCATCTTCCCCTGGAGAAAGGAGAGCAGAGCCTTGACGTGTTTGTGCACTTGCGATAGATAGGAGGAGAACTGGCCAGCACTTGGTGCCTAAAGGGTTAAACTTAGGTAGATTGCAAGGGTGTTAGCGGGGCCCAGAAGAACCAATGGGATACAGTGCTGAAATTTAAATTATAAATATATGCCTTCAGCTGTTTTTTCTCTTTAGAGAATTCTAAGTTAAGGGCTGGAGAGCGTAGATGTAGGGAACAGAAATATCATGCCTATAAAAATATTGAACATGGGAGTGAATTGGGCCCTGAAGTACGGATCAGCATGGATTGTGAGTAGAGAGAAAAGTATATGTAGTTGTGATCAGGGTATTTTTCTTAATTTGGTTGTTTGGTTTAAACTTCTCTATGTGAATCCATGCCTTCCCTCCCCCATTCACTATCTAAGAGTTGTTTCCAGAGATTTTCTCTGGGTTGGTTGCTCTATAATACATAGCAACCAGATATGCTTTTATCAAGTTTATCTTTTATTGTTAATAAAAATCACCTTTATAAAGGGCGTGGTTTGATTCTTGTGTCCTGGAAAGTAACGTGTGTGTGCGCGCACGTGCCTTTGTGTGTCTAAAACCGAGTGGTCAGCTATCAGAAACTGCAGCTTATTTTTCTCTTTTCTTTTTTCAAGCTCTTTTGAAGCAAAATAACTTGCTTTTTTGGAGGTAAATCACTTGATGGTGGCAGCTTTGTTTTTTCTCAGAGCCAGTGCATCTGTGACTGGGGAGTTTTTTTAATAAGAGCCTATGGAGGCAAGGTATTTATGGACACTCATGGACCCCCATCTTCTGCACCAGAGTGCCAGAGTGGGTAACAGCCCTGACAGCATGCAAGTCCATGTGTTCTAACTCCAGACCCTATAGATGCTCCTATATGATGCAGGTAGTCTACACGGGGCCAAATGTCGGGAAAACTCCCTCTTTCAAAAGACCCTGTAAATCTCGATTTATGAAGAATAAGGGGTCTTTCAAGAGAAAGTTTTTTTCCGATAGTTGACCCCATGTAGATGGGCCAAATATCAGGAAAAACCTCTTCCACAAAAAGAAATGGAAGTAGATATGCAAATGTGAGCACAATTTGTGTATCTTCTTCCTCAAAAAAATGGCAGTGTACCCATAGCTTCAGACTATGTCTACACTGCAGTTATGTTTTGGAAAAAGATATGCAAGTTGCAAACTTTTTTCGGAAGAGGCTTTTCCAACATTTAGCCTGTCTACACGGGTCAAATATGGGAAAAACCTCCTCGTTCAGAAGAGCCCTTATTCCTCATAAAATGAGGAATACAGTATAAAAAGGGGAATAAGAACAACCCAGGAAATTATAGACCGGTCAGTTTAACGTCTGTCCCAGGGAAGATAATGGAGCAGGTAATTAAGGAAATCATATGCAAACACTTGGAAGGTAATAAAGTGATAGGGAATAGCCAGCATGGGTTTGTGAAGAACAAGTCATGCCAAACTAATCTGATAGCTTTCTTTGATAAGATAACGAGCCTTGTGGATAAGGGAGAAGCGGTGGATGTCATATACCTAGACTTTAGTAAGGCATTTGATATGGTCTCGCATGATATTCTTATTGATAAACTAGGCAAATATAACTTAGATAGGGCCACGATAAGGTGGGTGCATAATTGGCTGGATAACCGTAGTCAGAGAGTTGTTGTTAACGGTTCTAAATCCTGCTGGAAAGGGATAACAAGTGGAGTTCCTCAAGGGTCTGTTTTGGGACCCGTACTGTTCAATATCTTCATCAATGATGTAGATATTGGGATAGAGAGTACTCTTATTAAGTTTGCAGATGATACCAAACTGGGTGGGGTTGCGACTTCTTTGGAGGATAGGGACATAATTCAAAATGACCTTAGCAAGTTAGAGAAATGGTCAGAGGTAAACAGGATGAGGTTTAATAAGGAGAAATGCAAAGTGCTCCACTTAGGAAGGAACAATCAGTTCCATACATACAAGATGGGAAGCGACTGTCTAGGAAGGAGCATGGCGGAAAGGGATCTAGGGGTCATAGTGGACCACAAGTTGAATATGAGTCAACAGTGTGATGCTGTTGCAAAAAAAGCAAATATGATTCTAGGTTGTATTAACAGGTGTGTTGTAAGCAAAACTCGTGAAGTCATTCTGCCGCTCTACTCTGCGCTAGTTAGGCCTCAGCTGGAGTACTGTGTCCAGTTCTGGGCGCCACATTTCAAGAAAGATGTGGAGAAATTGGAAAGGGTACAGAGAAGAGCGACAAGAATGATTAAAGGTTTAGAGAACATGACCTATGAAGCCAGGCTTCATGAACTGGGCTTGTTTAGTTTGGAAAAAAGAAGATTAAGGGGGGACATGATAGTGGTTTTCAAATATCTAAAAGGGTGTCACAAGGAGGAAGGAGAAAATTTGTTCCTCTTGGTTTCTGAGGACAGGACAAGGAGTAATGGGCTTAAAGTGCAGCAGGGGAGGTTTAGATTGGACATTAGGAAAAAATTCCTAACTGTCAGGGTGGTCAAATATTGGAATAAATTGCCAAGGGAGATGGTGGAATCTCCCTCTCTGGAGATATTTAAGAACAGGTTAGATAGACATCTGTCAGGGATGGTGTAGACGGAGCTTGGTCCTGCCTTGAGGGCGGGGGGCTGGACTCGATGACCTCTCGAGGTCCCTTCCAGTCCTATTATTCTATGATTCTATGATTCTATGACACAATCTCAAGTGGGTCAACTGGGCACCACATACATACAAACAGTAACAACCTGAATTTGCAGATTCCAGATCAAACCAATATGACTTTGCAAAAACTGAATTTGAACTGGGACACCTAAAAGAAAGTCTTTCCAAATTTCAGTTTTGTATACTTTTCTGTTTAGTTGCCACAGTACTTCAAAAAAGTTGGACTTTTTCTTACAGTAGCAAATTGGGAATTCCCCCACTTTTACTCGGTTTAATCTCAACCATTTTTGCTTGGTCTTTGCAAATTTAATCTGGTGAAAATCCTGTAAGGCAGAGTTTCTTAAACTGTGGGTCCCAACCCCCAGAGGGGTCACGAGCAACTTAGAGGGGGTTGTGGTATCACAAGTTTGAGAACTCCTGCTATAAAGTGAACATTGGAGAAAGTGATAACTAAAAAGTTGAGCTTTAGAATGAAAATGCTTAGGAACCCTTTACTGTAGCTGTTGGTATGCTCCAGCTATACTAGATTCTGAGTTTGGAATCCTGTAATCAGATGACAGAATTTAGGAGCCTTCCCTTCCCCTTTCCCTTACAAAGATCTGGGTATTTATAGAATTCTAACCTTTAGGAATTCATCTGCTGGCTGCTGACACTTCTCCTTGGTGTCAGAGATCAGTTTTTCAAGCTTTGGTATTTTCTTGAAAATATCAATGAAACACTCATTCTGCTGTCTGAAAGCGATCCTGTCTGCTATAGCCAGTTCATTTGTCAAATACCATTCACGGCTGTTCAGAATCCGATGATGTTGCACAAAATAAGAAGTGATTTCTTTCCTCTCAGTTGCTGTCTGAGTCTGTAATGAACAGGTACATGCAAAGAGAAAGGAGGTGACAATAAGAAAGAGACGTGTACACATACACAGGGCACGCCCTAGGGAAAATGGTGCCCTGGGTGAACTTGTATTTTGGCACGCCTGCTCCCCTTCCCAGACATGGTGCTCCCAATTTCCCTGGGCTATCTTGGGATCCCCAACACCTGGACTCCCATCCTATGCCCCCTTTGCCATTAACTCCTGTCCCTACCTGCTAAACTGTGCCCCCTGTGTCCTTGTGACAGGGTTAGTCCAGAGGGCTAGAATAGAAGTGGGGAGAGGCAGCTCTAAAAAAGCAGAAATGGCTCTGGCTAATTAGGAAGGGTTACTATAGGGCAACCAGGCACAGCTGACTCAGAGTTATCACTGGTGGGCTGCATCTAGACTAGCAAGTTTTTCTGCAAAAGCAACCACTTTTGCACAAAAACTTGCCAGCTGTCTACACTGGCCACTTGAATTTCCGCAAGAACACTGACGATCTCATGTAAGATTGTTAGTGTTCTTGCGGAAATGCTATACTGCTCCCATTTGGGCAAAAGCCCTCTTGCGCAAATGCTTTTGCGCAAGAGGGCCAGTGTAGACAATGCGGTATTGTTTTGTGCAAAAAAGCTCCAATTGCAAAAATGGCGATCGGGGCTTTCTTGCACAAAATCGCGTCTAGATTGGCACAGACACTTTTCCGCAAAAAGTGCTTTTGCGGAAAAGCGTCTGTACCAATCTAGACGCTCTTTTCCGCAAATGCTTTTAACGGAAAAACTTTTCCATTAAAAGCATTTGTGGAAAATCATGCCAGTCTAGTTCGAACTAGCGGGGTAGTGTAGACATACCCTCACAGACTAACAGATTTATTGGAGCATAAGCTTTTGTGGGCAAAGACTCATTTTGCAAATTCAGACTAACACAGTTACCCCTCTGATACTTGCCTCCTGGAAAGGTTTATTAAATTCTTAAGGGCTATGTCTACACTGCAGACTTCTGCAAGAACAACTGTTCTCGCACAATAACTTGCGGAGCATCCACACTAAAATCCCATTCTTGTGCAAGAAATTTTACAGAAGATCATCAGAAGAGAGGACTTTTTGCTCAAGAGTTATTCCTCTCCCCATGAGGAATAAGCCATTTTGCGCAAGAGCTCTTGCACGAAAAGGCTAGTGTGGACAGGAACAGGTGTTTCTTGCGCAAGAAACCTCTATGGCTAAAATGGCCATTAGAGCTTTCTTGCGCAAGAGAGTGTCCATACTGCCATGGACGCTCTTGTGCAAAAGCACATGGCAGTGTGGATGCCATCTTGTGCAAGACCTTCTGAGCAAAGAACTCTTGTGCAAAAAGTTCTTGCACAAGAAGCCTGCAATGTAGACGTAGTCCAGGAGTTTTCACAAGGGGCAAAGAATCTCTGCATTCATTGGTATGTGCATGATCATTACCTGGTGAAGGAATGAAATGTGGGCTTATAACACAGGGGGAATGACAGGGTGTTGGGATGTGGGAGGAGGTGTGGAGTGCAGGGAGGAGCTCAAGGCACAAGCTCTAGTTGCAGGAGGGGGCTCAGTGCATACAGTAGGGTGACCATTGGTTGTGGTTCTCTGTTCCTGGCCCTTGGGAATTGTAAGGACAGCATCTGCAGGCCACAGCAGCATAGTAGTCTCCTCTCTGTTACACCTTGGTTCGGTGAT